AAAAAAAAAATCACTCTAAGAAAAATAGTTATAAAAAAATCAGAAACTGCAGTCACATTTTCTTGTTTCTCTTTATCCGTGTTATATTTCAGTTGTCAGTAGCCCTAACTAACGCCTTGCCGTGAGAGATGGAGGAGTTGGGACTTTTTATCCCTCCTCCTTGCTTCCCTTTCCCCGTTCCTTCTCTTGCAGATTGAACTTTGTGTGAGGGTTTACAATATTTCCTTTCTGTTCTGCTGTTATACTTCTGCCAATTACTTGGTCTGATACTGCTCAGTTCCCTTCTGTTTCTGATTATCAATTAAGTCTGTGTTTATACGCGGTTGGTTTCCTTAGCTCCGCAGTTTCATTTCACATTTCATTCTGTATTTGATTATCACAGTTGATCTCTTTTATTAAACTTGCATTGTTATTTTGTATTGCAGAATTTCATTAAGTTTTCTTTCAAAATAGATGTTTTGGCTTATGTGTGTTGCTTACTATGTTCTTTTCTTTCCTCCTCTCTCCCATCTGTTTTTCTACAGATTAAAGCATATTAAAATTCTGAACATTTCATTAATTCATTTTCTTTTTCCAACTTTGGTTTTAGGGGAAGGAGTTGGTTAGGTGAGGTAAGGGGTCTCATTATGTTCCTGGTCTTGCCTACTACTTTTCAAAGTTTCAAATACACAATTGTAATTCTTTCCTATTTAGTAAGTGATCATTTTTTTTCCTTACCTTTTTAAAAACTTTTTATTTAGGGAGTCAGTAGGTGCCATGGTTACTGGGGCACTGGATTCCCACATGGCCAACTATCGTTTGAATCTCGAACCCAGCGGTTTGAGAATCATGCCAGACACGTGTGTGTGCATGCCCAAAATCCTGAGGGGAGAGTGGAGGAGGAGGGATTGTAGCATGCCCGACCCCTTGAGAGGTGATTTCTCACTTTCCCGTGCTCTGTCTCTCTCTCTGTCTCGTCTCTCTCTAGCCAGTGTGTGCACCTTATGTAAAAAAACCTAAAATTTCTTTTAAACCTTTTTATTTTTCAAGGTATTTTAGGGTACTAGGTTTGCCTGATTTTGCTTCATTCTGCCATCTCTACTTAGAAATCTAATAACCATGATTTAAAACACTTATTTTTTATAGCAGTTTACAAATAAGCATTTTTACTTGTATTTTTTCATTTAACTACTTTAACTCAGGCAGGTAAATATTGGCTTGGTAGAAGAGTCATGACACCTTTTTGCATAGAAGAAATACACCATAATTTTCCAACAACCCAGTACTTATTATCCTCTTCACTTGATAGTTGAGAAGGCTGGAAATTGTAGTGATGTGTAAACGAATCAAAGAGACAACGTAAGGCACAATCAGAATGCGATGGTAAACTTACTGGGCACTTTATATCCTTCTGGAGAGTCTGAGGTTGTTGATAACTTGTCACTGGAGTTGGAACTTAAATGCCCTTCGGCCTGCAGCTCGAAGGTCGGGAACAACGGCCACAGTCGTTCTCGTGCTTGTCACTGGAGTTGGAACTTAAATGCCCTTTGGCCTGCAGCTCGAAGGTCGGGAGCAACGGCCACAGTTGTTCTCCTTGAACATGCTGCGAATATTGGCAAACCGTACGTTTCCCTTCTAGCCACTCTGCCACCACCAAAGTAGGACTCGTTTTTTGCATGCTTTTTTGAGATCTAAAGCAATCCGAGTATTTCTCCCCCAGGAAGTCTGTCCGTGAACAAAGGCTACTGATTGAAAACTGATTGTCTGTTTTGTTTCAGTGCAAGCAGCTAATGACTCAGTCTGTAGACTCCAGCAGAGGGAGCAGGAACGAAAAAAGGTAAAAGTGGGTCCTTTGGGTAATGGGGCATACAGCTCCTGGGCATTTATTATCATTGTATTATTAGCCGTTGCTTTTGGTCTATTCTCTGAGTTTATTTTCTTTTATTTAATGGCTTTGAAAGATGTAAAAATAGTTAATTCTGTGCCAGCTGGTGGGGTGGTTGTTAAGGCTGCTGGATCCCACATGGCCAACCTTATGGTTCGAATCCCAGACCCAGTGGATTGAAAAACATGCCAGGCTCCATGTGTGTGCCCAAAATCTCAAGAGAAGAATGGAGAAGGAATTGCGGCATGGCCATAAACCCCCGGAGAGCAATTTCTTACTTCCCGCCTCCCCACTCTGTCTCTCTCCAGTGCGTGCACACACCCTATCGGAAAAACTATTAAAAAAGGAAAAAAGAAAAGTTAATTCATTGAAGGTGTATTGAGGAAATGTGGTCACATGATTGCACCACCAATATTTTTATATTCCAAATTGCAGTTTTTCCTTTTCACCCTTTCCATCTTTTCCCTGAAAGTGGTATTTGTCCCATGGAGGAGAGAGAAAATCGGACTTTGACATGGAAGCACAAGTACCCAAAGATTGGAAATATAAATCTTTCCTTTGAGGCTGAAATATTCAGTATGTTCTGTATATTTCTTCTAGAAAAGGACACATTCATGCCTGTGGATAGGTTATTTAATGAATAGTCACAGGAGTATATGAATCACTTGCCGGGCAGTGTTTTGCTTATTTGAATTATATCTTAACTAAATTCACATGTGGAAAAACAGTGTAAGAATTTAAGTTCCTGTGATAATTTGGTGTTTTCACTTGCAATTCTCATAGAGTATTTTTGTAACTTATTCATTGCTCCAAACTAATAAAAATGCATCTTATACTTACTGCAAAAAGTCGAAAATACTAAGTCACTATGAAAATACTCCTTTTTCCATGTATATATCAACAAATGTTACTATCTCCGTTTCTCTGGAACACGTTGTGGTTAACCCATAGTAGTCGTTCAGATCTGTAACTATAAACATATCATGACATGAACCTTCCCTGGGTTTCAGTTACTGCTCCCTCTGCTCAACTCTGGATGCTAATGTAGAGTTCGAAAATCCAACAGTCTGATGAAAAGACTGGAAGTTTATGACAGGTGGGACTTCACCCAGGCGTAGTAGGATCCTAGCAGGCCATGTCGGGAAGCCGGGCATTGCTAAGCACAGGGGGTGACATGGCAAGGCAGAGGCACAGAGAGGAAAACCCATGGGTCCTGGTATTTGCCCAGCGTACAGAGAGAGCTGTGAAGGCAAGCAGTGGGCTGATACGGGCCATGCTAGACTGGATACCAGATATGCTTTTAATCCTCTACTTTGGAAGGTGCCACTGGAGACAAGAGATTTTAATTTGTTAGGTTTGAGGCAGCACCTGCATTCTAAGAGCCGGAAGTCTAGGAGTCCCAAACCACTTCCACAGAGGTCCTGCAGGGTAAAGCAAGAGCTCCGATCACCTTATAGAAAACTTTGTGGGATCTTGGCAAAAGGACTATTTTTGGAAATGATAGGTTGCAGGCTAACCCATAATCGGTAGCAAGAATTCAGTTGATAGACGATGAGAAGAAAGATAACGCAGTGTTAGAAACACAGTGTGAGCAAAGACAAAAGACAGACTTCGGCATTCTCCTGGGACAGGCCCGTAGAGGATATAAGCGGATATTTCTAGGGTTGATTATTGGGCATCTTGAATGTAATTCTGAACAATTTGTTGTTGGGGGGCACTGGCAGCGTTTCTGGTTTTAGAGAGATGAATAACTGTCTGCTAGAACTCCGCTGTACGTTTCACCACATGTGCTGTGGGCTGCAGTCTAGGAAACCTGCATGCACAGTAGCCACCCAGGTTTTCTTAAGATAATTGAATAAATTAACCAGCTTAAAGTCCATATAAAGATACATCTCAGCTCAGAGAAAAGTGGCACTGTGATTAAATGCAGTTCTCCTGGCTTTCAGAAGGAATATTAGGCCCAGGCGTAGTGACACAGGCAGGGGAGTGTAGCTGTGTGATACAAGAGTCATGTGGGAGGGTCCTCAGTTCAGACCCTGGGTCACCATGAAGCTCACCAGGTACACACATGACCCTGACTGGCTGGAAGACTGGGAGAGGAACCAGGGTGTGGCGAGCCCCTGCCAGGGCTAGATGTCTCTTTCTCTCTCTTCTCTCTCTCTTTCTCTCTTAAAAAATAAACTACCTATTGCCTGGAAAACATAGAAAAATGTGTGATGACTTTTCCAATGACCCAGTCGATGGAGGGATGGAGATGGGCGGACGTATCCCATGCTGCGTATCCCTCTGCCGTGTCACTATGATTTCGGCAGATTTGGGGGTGCACTCACACGTTACTTGTGCGTCTTGTTAAGCCATCATCAAAGCAGCTATAATTCTTGTCAGTGACGACCGTGTCACTATGATTTCGGCAGATTTGGGGCTGAACTCACACATTACTTGTGTGTCTTGTTAAGCCATCATCAAAGCAGCTGTAATTCTTGTCAGTGACAATTCTTGTCAGCCTTGAACAGAGTGGACCTAAAATGAAACTATAATAGTACCTCTTGTGACCTCAAACTGTTTTCACTTTTGTCATATTAGCCAGGAAAAAGAACAGATTGGCTAAAAAAAAATGTTTCTTCTGTTTCTGTTGGTTGGTTCCCTTTATTAGCCAGCTGCATGCCCTCGGACAAAGCCCTAAGCTTCAGCTTCCTCACCTACAAAAGAAGTCTGTACCCACTTAAGTAATAGAGTGATAGAAAATTTGCAGCTTGTACATCATGACCCAAGTGGAAAGTGGCATGTTTTACCGCCAGCTCACTCTCTGTTTAAGATCAGACAGGCCCATGTGGATACTAAATTTTAATACGTATTCCCAAAAAATCAGTGTAATAGCATTCACAGACATAATGCCCATAAGAAATTTACTTTGAAAAATAACCATTTTTTCTATTTCTTGAGGACTGTTTTTTGTTTGTTTTATTTTGTTTAAGGTTTTTGCCATAGAGCATTTGCACTCACCAGGGAGAGAGAGAGAGGAAAAGCGAGAAATCACCCCCCTAGGAGGGATGGCCACACCACAATCCCTTTTCCTCCATTCTCTTCTCAGGATGTTGGGCTCACACACACATGAGTCTGGTGTGATTTTTAAGCCACCAGGCCCAAGACTCAAACTGCAGTGAGCCATGTGGGAATCCAGCACCTTAGCCACCACACCACGTGTTGGCCCCCGAGGACTGTTTTAAATTTTTAACTTTGCTTTTTAATTTGCAGCAGGATGTGTATGGTCACCAGAAAGAGACAGAGAGGGAGAACGCACCCCTCTGTGGGGCATGGTCACACCGCAGTCCCTTCTCCTTTTGTCCATCCTGTCGGCATCTGGGGTATGCACACGCACAGCATATTTTTTGAGCTGTCGGGGCTGGGATTTGAACCACTCGTTGGATTGTGTGTGTTTGGCTTTCTTAACCACTAGGTCATAGGGCCAGCTCCTAGGCTATTTTTTTAAAACCCATCAAACTACCTTTTAATTTGGAAAAGGATATTTTCCAAATTTCAGTATATTTTAGAATATACTGAAAAAGGATTTTCTGAGAATGGGTATAGAGTCTGTGAAACCTACACTCGTAGAGGCCATCCTGGCTTTCTTTTTTCAAAAGATTTAATAAATTAACCACTTAAAGTCCATAAAAGATACATCTCAACTCAGAGAAAAATGAAAGTTTCTTACATACTTACTGAGACCAGACATTGAGTTTTAAGTCTTTAGTTCTTTTGTGTGTATGTGTGTTTACTTAATTAGTAAAGCATTTGATATATGAATCTTTAAAGATTTTTTTTAATGTCATATCTAGCTGTGTCCAAAACCTTGGCAATGTCAGAGATTTCAGACTAAATGTCTGTGTGGGGGGACAGGGAGGGAGGAGGAAGGATAAAAGTAAAGTTTAATTTTTCATCTAGCAACTATATACAAAGCAAAATTGACACATAAGTGTATTTTACAGCCTTGTGGTAATTGTCCCCTATGGTTATGCTGTTGGCTACATTTTGTATATTTGAATGGCTCTCAGAACAAAGAAAGATGGGAATAATAATGGAATAAAATAGACTATTGCCATTAATCATTTAATTCTTTTATGTCAAGACAATTTGTGGAATTCTGTGGGAAGTAAATTGATAAGCGTCATTCATCCAAATCCCATTTCCCACAATTGATATCAAAAAGTATCGTGCATTCAGAAGAACAATAAATGCACATTCCCCAGTTATTTGGTAGGTCTTGAAAACTACCACTAATACAAAGTTGCATTTAGGGCTCTAACAATGAAGACTGAAATGAAAATAAGATTGGCTTATGAAATTCACTGGCTCTTAAAAATTCGCCAGCAAAAGAAACGAGGTAGCTAATATTACACCAGTAATTTGAACTTGGTTTTACGCATAAGCATCAACTTTTGGAGCCCTACTCAAACAGACCAGAGATTACAGTGAAGTAAACATGAATGCTTTGATTCATTTTGTCCACAAATGCTTATTAGATTTGAACTTCTTTATGATTTTATTTTCATGATCTCAAAAGGCTCGTACATTATTCTTTTTAAATTTTTTTTAGAGAGAGATTTTGCTGTAAAGCTCATGTGCTAATTAGAGAGAGACAGAGAAAGTGAGAAGTCACCTCCCAGGGGGATGGCCACATGGCAATCCCTTCTCCTCCATTCCCCTCTCAGGATTTCGGACACGTACGTACACATACTCAGCATGAGTTTCAAGCCGCAGTCTAGGGCTTGAATTGTGGTCAGCCAGGCGGAAGTCCAGCACCTTAACTACTACGCCACCTGCTGGCCCCCATACATTATTTCTGATAGAATTTGAAAATTGTCCTAGTGGGGGAAGATGTCAAAACCATACCGCATCTCCACCCCCCCAAGGTGAGAATCACTGACTTCAGAGTACAGCTTGCGAAAGTGTGTTTCTGTTGTGTGCTTACAGATCTGGATCTAGCATAGTTTGGCTTGTGAAGCAGGATTAGATTGGACATAGGAATGGGAAGGGAAGACTATGACCTTTATTTGAGTTGCCTATGATTTGGGTTGCTACAAGAATCTAATGCTAAAATTAAAGAAGAAAAACTGCAGTGACAAGAAAGTAACAAGTGATCTGCCTCCTACATTTTTTTTCTTTTGCCTCCTACAGTCTTTGTGTAACGGTTCTTATTACCTTTTATGAAGCACTTCAGGCACTTAGCTACAAACTTGATTTCCCCCAGTCTTTATAAATATTATTTATGAATGTAAAGTATTGTTTTCCTCCTTAAAGTTGCTCAGCAGTAAGCAACTGATGACCTGTGAGCTAGAATTAGAAGCAAGGTTGGGACCAGCAGTTAGTGTAATGGCTATGTCGCTGGACTCCTACGTAGTCGACTGCAGTTCGAGTCCCGGACCCGGTGGCTTAAACTCACGCCGGGCATGTGTGCGTGTGTGCGTGCCCAAGATCCCGAGAGGAGAATAGAGGAGAAGGGATTGCAGCGTGGCCATCCCCCCTGGGGGGTGATTTCTCACTTTCTGTCTCTCTCTGTCTGTCTGGCGAGCGCACGTGCCCTATAGCAAAAACCTCTATAAAAAAAAAAAAAGAAGCAAGGCTTATTCTCCAGGCTGTCTTTTTCTTTTTCTCCACTGCTCTGCCCTGGGTGAAGTGCTGTCTGGTGGGAGGAAGAACCCTGGGCATTGACTTGTCCAAATCCCAGGCTTAGCTAAACCAGCTATAGCTTTTCGGTTAAAAAGGAAATAATAAATAATGTCTGTGCATACCTGTTTAGTATTCTGTGCTTATTAACAATAGTGCTAAAACGAAGTACCATTTTGATGAAATGTATTTGCATTTTTTTTCTTTTTAGTCCAACCATGGCCTTTCTCTTAAAATTAACAGTTTTTGCAAAAGTTCCATCTAGAGTTGAGTAAATTGCTCATGTTTTATTCATCTTTTAGAGAGTTTTAGAGAATTATCACCCATAGGGCTGAGAGGTTGAAAAGTAACGTGTTGAATTTTGTTTAACCTATTTCCCAAATGTTTTGGATGGTAGCATCCCCCCACACACCCCAGACACTCGGCTCTCCCCACCTCTGTCATTCCTGTTCATACCTCAGAGGTCTGAAAAATGTGCGCCATATTTTAGGGAAACATTTGACTGTAACTCAAACTTCAGACTCTTGGGCTATGAAACGTGGGCTTTTTATTTGAAACACTTCAGTGCTGAGGAACTTTAGGACAGCTTGGCAAAAAAGCTCTTGCAAGAGTTGGGCTTTTTTGTTAGTTTGTCTTGTTCAAGAGACTTTTAGCATGTGTAAAATTTCCTCTGGAAGGATTTGATCTGCACTTTGTGATAGAAAACATAGAGATTTGGGTGTCCAAGAGACCTAAGTTTGAGTCTACACCTCAACCGCCACCTGGATGACCATGGAGAAGTTAAGTGTCCCGGAGCCTTCATTTCTTTGTAAAGTGGGAATAATGTGGTCTCCTAGGAGGGGGTTTTAGAAGACAAGCCATGCAAAGCAGCAAGCAGAAGTGTGCCTTTCATCGGTACCGAGAGCATGGTGGTCGGTCCAGCCTTCTCCCTGTCTCCATGATCCACACGAGAAGGAACATAAAAGGAACATAGTTCTATCCTACGTTTTGAACTCCCTGAACCTCTAGTTTCCATCTTTCCCTGATGGCCAGCATCTGAATTATCAGTATCTGAATATACCTGGTATCCTCTTTTCATTAGCGCACTGGAATTAGTAATGACTTCAGGAGCTTTGTAGGTTTTTAAGATTTTCATCCGTCATTGTTTTTGTTGGCTCATTTAATATTAATAGACGGTGTCGGAACTTCTAAAGACTTCCATGTAAAATATTTGAAGCAATAATAAAATTATTCCTTCATATTCTTTTCCCATGTAGCTCTTTGTTGGACATGTTCAAAGATAAATAATTGAAGTTATTCTTTAGAATACGGGAGGAAACTAAACGTATGCCTTTTTTATTTATACAGTGTTTCATCTGTGTTGTTCTCGTGTAAGAACATCTCAAGAACTTAGATATTTGATACACATTTTTAAGTGTTGGTTTCAGGAATGGAACTGACCCAGAGGAGAATTCTTGAGCTCTCTCCAGTGATTAATGATCTATGAATCTTTATAATGCACCTAAAAATATCTAATGTAAGATAGACATGTTAATGTTCTTATAATAATGATGGCTTTAGCATACATTCTTTAAATTCGGTTTAAAAAATATGCAGTAAATGAATTTGAGGAGATACAGAGGCATAAAAAGATTACTTGGATTGTGCCGTTTTGTCATTTAAAGGTACTAGACACTTGAAATTCAGAAATGTGAGTGTCTGTGGCAAGTTACAGTAAGAGAAGCCTTAGGTATTTCTGATATGTTGTGTTCTTATAATAGACATTCAAGCTATATTGCACTTTTATTATTGTGACTTACCAACTGACCATTACAATAACCAAGAGCTCATTGTCTTTGTCCGACATGTAGGTATAATTATCTGGAAAATGTCATGTGACTTTCAATTTCCTTTTCTCAGATTCATAATGACCATTTAATAGCTAGTGAGAAGCAGCAAATACTCCAGTGGGAGGCTTTTATGAAGGAACAGCCCCACAAACGAGCTGAGGTGGACGAAGAGCACAGAAAAGCCATGGAGAGGCTCAGAGAGCAGTATGCCGAGATGGAGAAGGACCTGGCGAAGTTGTCAACCTTCTAAGAAGTCGAGCCCCAGCAGTGACAAACGAATGAGGAGTCCTCGACTTCCCCCACACCCTCACCCTCCTGTACTCCCACCAAGCCATCAGCCTCTGCTCCAAGCTTAGCAATATCTTCAGTGGCACTCTTGTACCAGAAGGAAACTGCTGCTGGAGTCCTGATGAAAGGTTTAACGGAAGAAGAGTGCTACATCTTTCCAGTTTTAAGTGCCTACAAAAGGTTATGTGAACGGGGAGAAATCAGGGAAATCGGATACATTTCCTCTTAGTTAACTAGATTTGGTCCTCTTTCCCACTGATTAGCTCAGAGAACTGTAAGTATAGACCTCTTGGAAAGATCATTGCATTTATTCTTATTCAGGGTTGATATTAGTTTGTTCTTGTGTATAACAGCTGGCTGCCGTAGCCTCCCTGGCTGTTGGGAGACCATAGAAAGTGTTATTCCAGAGCAGTGTAGACAGACAGTGGCTGTCCTTGGGGCAGAGAGCACAGTTAAGGGAGGTGAGAATGAAAACATCTTCTCTAGGCCGGGTTCGTCCTTGAATTGCCTAGGGGGAAGGCTGCAGGTTTGGCAGTAAGGCAACGCGCTCTGTGCTTCCCTGGATGACAGGACACACGAGTTATTTTGGTGGCCTTCCAGCATGAACTACTTTCAGTTTTTAAAACATACTTACCAAAAAATACATTTTGACCTTAGCTTTTAGAGGAACCATAATCTTACCCATAGTATTTACCTCATTCTTGTGTCTGTTTCACTGTGGGTAAGCGTGATAAGTAACGTCTATACATGTTTCCACCGTCTGAGTAATCAGCAAAACCTGCCAAGGAGTCCCTCTGTAACCATCTCAAGATCCTGGCTCTGAGTGAGCTGGAAGTGTGCTCCCACCAGGCAGATGACCCACGTCAGATGTAAAGCCTTTTCAGTATTAGCGTCTGTTCTCGTGAGCAGGTGTATTATGGTGAAATGCACCAATCCTGTCATCACTGTGAGCTTTAACATTCCGTTCTTAGCAAGCTAGTCGAAGACCTAAGTTTATTTTTTTTTTGAATTTGCCATAAGCCAACTAAAGTAAATGCAATAATTTCAAGGGGTTTATGGCAAGCAAATTTAAGGCATGGATAAATCTTTCCAAATTTTTAATTGCTCTTCAGTAAAAATAAGGCACAAAAAAAAAAGAAAACAGCCAACTCTCTTGTATTATCTCAGTATTGCAACTGCAGAACATTGACAATGCTCCCTTGTGTAAATTTATGGCTTACTGTCAAAGCTTCATTCTTGGCTGCATGTTGAAAATGTGATTAAAGTTAATAGAGAGATGAAATAAGTATTTGAGATTTCTTTCACTAATACTGAACTCCTGCCAACTCTCTCTGTCCGCTACTGTAGGCTTGACAGGTTCATCAATCATCCTCCAGTACCTGGACTAAAAGAGCACTTGCTGACACCAAAGCATGCTGGAATTTTCTTAATTCTCTTTTGGTGGATGGAAAAAAAAAAAAAAAACCTTCCAAAAATATCCCACATGTGAAAAGGGAGGGGAGCCTTGAATGAAAATTCCCTTTGTACTGCGAGCACTGTTTGGAATGCTGTTCATTGCCAACACAGCACCGAACAGATGCTCCACACAGTCAGCAGTGCGTGTGTGAGTGGGAAATGTGTGCTCAGCCGCGGTTACCCGACTCAGGGAGCAGACATTGCCGATAGTCCTTCTTCACCTCGTATGACCAAGCATGCTTTACCTTATAAAAGTTCATGGGAGGTAGGTGTCATGAAAAACCATGCATGCATTTCGAAATTGTTTGCACCAAAATAAATTCACACATTCAAGCAACTTCCCATGACCTTTTTGAAGTCCCCTCATACATCTGCATGTGAGTATCTAAAGGATTTCCTAAATCGAAATGAATTATTAGAAGGAATAATGAAACTATCCCAAATGACCAGAAAGTGTGGAAGAGAACTAAATAATACTTCCAGAAATGAAAGCAAACACAATAACTACAATTAATAACTCAATGGATGGCCACATTGGGTGAGACACAGCAGACAGATTCTGTGAACTAGACAATAAAGAAATTATCCAGAATTGAGCCAGCCAGTGGCTTCCTGGTTAAGGTGGTTGGATCCCACAAGGCCTACTGCACAGTTCAAGTCTCAGATCCTGTGGCTTTAAAAACATCAGGTACAGGGAACCAGCAGTTAGCGTAATGGCTATGTCGCTGGACTCCCACGTAGTCGACCGCGGTTCGCGTCTCGGACCCGGTGGCTTAAATCTCACGCCGGGCGCGTGTGCGTGCGTGCCCAAGATCCCGAGAGAAGAATGGAGGAGAAGGGATTGCGGCGTGACCATCCCCCCTGGGGGGTGATTTCTCGCTTTCTGTCTCTATGTCTCTGTCTGTCTGGCGAGCGCACGCGCCCTATAGCGAAAACCTCTCCAATAAATAAATAAATAAATAAATGAATGAATGAATGAATGAATAAATAAATAAATAAAAACATCAGGTACATGTATGTGCATGCATGCCCAAAATCTTGAAAGGAGAATGGAGAAGAGATTGCAGCGTCGCCATCTCCTCCAGCGACGTTTTTGTGCAGTGAGCACATGTGCCCTATAGTAAAAAATTTTAAAAAACAAATTATCTGTGTTTTTTTTTTTTCTTTCTTTCTTTTTAGGTTTTGACTATATCCGCATATGCTCATCAGAGAGAAACAGAGAGGGAAAGTGAGACAATCCCTCCTTCATTCTCCTCGGGATTTTGGGCATGCCCACAGATACGCCCATGGCAAAAAGTGTGCCAACTTTGGTCCTTCCAAAAACTCGAGGTTTACATTATCTCTGAAAGAATAGTCAATACAATAGATACAATAGTCAATACAATAGATCTAAGGTAACTAAATGTAGGGACTATTTGTGTAATGCAGCTTACAGTATTCTTTTAAGTATTTTGTATGTAATTTTATCTTATTTCATCCAAGAAATACACCTTGGCTCGCTCGCTCGCTCCCTGTCTCTCTTTTTTTTTTTGTAATTTGCTAGAGAACCCATGCACTTGCCAGAGAAAGAAAGAGAGAAGAGGAAAGTGAGAAAGCATCCCCCATGGGGGATGGTCACACCGCAATTCCCTCTCTCCCATCTCACCCTCCTGTCAGGATTTTGGCCTCCACACGCACATGTACCTGGCATGTGTTTAAAGCTACCAGGTCCAGGACTTGAACCACACCATCATTTATGGAGGTCTGTTCACCTTAACCACCATGCCACTGACTGGTCCCCACTTTGTTCTTTTAAAGAAAGAGTACAAATGGTTGAGAAATACAAGGAATATAATTTTGCCCACCTAATGTTGAGCTTGCAGCAACCCATCAGATAAATGGACTAAGCAATACGTAATGTTTTTTTAATATTCTGAAAATCTCTAGCCTAGGTAGGTCCAAAATGTTTTCTTTATAATTAAATAGCTTTCTTTTTTTAAAAAAATCTGTTTAAAGATTTCATTTATTACAATTATTATTACTTAATTTTTTATAGTGCACGTGCACTCACCAGAGAGCGAGAAAGAAGGAAAATGAGAAAGCAATCCACCGGGCCCAGAACTCAAACTGCAGTCAACCATGTGGGAGTCCAGCACCTTAACCACCACGCCACCTGCCAGCTCCCAATGACATAGCTTTCTAAAGAAAAAGCTTCATGGACCTACAAACATTTATAAGTCAGGATATGAAATTGTATTCTGCTAAAATATTTTGAATTACTGAAGTGTTTTGTATATTATCATTTCACCTTTCAGGGGCTGTTTAGGCTTTGTAGCAGGATGGACTATAACGTGAGGTGATGGATATGTCACTTCGCCTGGCATGATCATCCCACAGCATGTACATGTATCAGCACATCACATTGTACCCCATCAAAACATACAGTATTTACTTGCCAAAAAAATAAATGAACATAAAGTAAGTACAGACAAGGTTCAAAGGTATGTAAATATAGATAAATATTCCCCTGGGAAAAGACTGGTGTGCGATTCAGAGTTGCCTAGAACAGACAGTACCAAGCTCTAGTGATGCGGCATTTAGTGATGGTAGGGAGGAGACAGGGTATGTAAGATCCTCTTGCAATGCCATCGTTTTCCTGTGGCTGGGCAGACCACGCTGCAGCCAACATGGGTAGTCTTGTACTTTGTAAAATAGTGAAGTGAATGCAAATTTGGGTTTTCCATCATTCCTTGAGGTGGTTGTTTTCCTCCTGAAATTTAAAAAAACAAAGTTGTTCGAGACCAGGGAGGCATGGAAGTGTTAACCTCCAGAGCAAATATTATCACCATTTATGTGTGTCAAGTTTGACTCTTACAGGTCAGTGTATGAAGCTAGCTAGATTGTGCTTAAGAGTTTCTCTCCATTGAGTGATTCTTTTATGAAATTGCGCCATATTGCAAATCTCACTGTTCTTTAGAGAAAAATTCTATAAATGTTAAGATTTTATGCCATTCAGTTCCTTAGAACAAGTTTTGTAGAGAATCTGAAAAGAAAGCCACAAATTCAGTTGCTTTTTTAAAAACTTAGTCATGTGAAATGCTTAAGAAGCTTTTTCAAAAATGTATCTTTTTTAAAGAATACAGTTCAATGGGACCAACAGATGGCATAATGGTTATGACATTGGACACCCACGTAGTCGACCGCAGTTCAAGTCCTGGACCTGGCAGCTTAAAACTCACGCTGGGTGTGGGTGTGTGTGCGTGTGCCCAAGGTCTTGAGAAGAAAATAGAGGAGGAAGGATTGAGGCATGGCCATCCCCCACAAGGGCAGTGATTTCTCACTTTCTGTCTCTCTGTCTCTGTCTCTCTGGTGAGCACACACACCCTATAGCAAAACCAGGCAAGCAAAAACAACAACAACAACAAAAACAGTTCAAAAAGTTAAGGTCATTATCACAAAGAAAAACAATTGTATGTGTCAATTATGTATTAAATACATTTTTTTTTCTTTTTTTGAGAGAGGTTTTTCACTATAGGGCGTGTGCACTCGCCAGACAGAGAGAGACATAGAGACAGAAAGCGAGAAATCACCCCCCAGGGGGGATGGTCACGCTGCAATCCCTTCTCCTCCATTCTCCTCT